AGGACTCTAGCCACCACGCATATAAAGGATTTAGAGTGAAAAACTTTGTTTTTACGGGTTATACTTATTAACGTTCGTCTTTTGCCGCACAAAAGGACCCGATGTCTCACTAGCTCGACAGCCAAATGTCTGCGCAAACTTGTGTGCTTTAGCCGCAAAATGTTGCCGAAGCTTTGAGTGTCTTAGGGTCTTGCGTGGCGCGCAGAGACGCGCCGAATATGCAATCCTGTGCAACTGCGGTCGCCCACGACAAACCAGGGGACACGTAATGGCTCAAAGGTGAAGATCCCCGTATCGCCTGAACAGACTGTAGGGGCGAGTGCTGTGAGCGAGCACCTATGAAGGCCGACATGGCACACGAGGGGGTGAGTGGCCAGCACCACACCCGGCCGTCTTTGTCTCCCCAAGTTGGGACATTTACACATCGCACCGGGTACTCATTTGAAGCAGAGTCGACCTAGAGGAGGCACAGGACCGATTCGGATAATCGTCACTGGTGTTAGTGGCCGTGAGTGGGACTCTAACTCAGGTCCCGTAGTGCTGCGTGCTCACCGCTGCGCCACCGCTCCGGTCTCCATGCCCAAATTCACAAACGTGAAGGAAGCCTCGTCACAGCTGCGATGGACCGCTTCGTTACGTCTGACGCAATCACCTGGCTCAACAACCTCAATGTAAAATTAGAGTTGTTGCTCTACATCGGGCATGACCAAAGTCCGGCCCGCGGGTCAATCACGGCACGCGGGCAGATTTCATACGGCCCGAAGCTTCGGTCTTATAATGTGTTAGTTATGGCTCGCCAGCTCTGTCAGAATAAATACATCATAAAAGTCATGGAAATTTAAGGTATTCTATACAGTTTGTTCAATGTTATCTGACTGAATGAAAGGCAGAATTGCGTTTTTAGAGTTGTTCCCGTCTGCCTGAGTGGCTTATATTTGGTTACATTGTGATTTGAAAAATAAAGGTAATTGTGACAATGCAAATTGTTTTATAACAGTATGTATTTCCACGTAACTGTTGTGGTTAAAACAATGTCAGAAGGAACTATTGGCCCACGGGCATCTTCACTTTATCAAATGTGGCCCTCTTTGCAAAAAGTTTGGACACCCCTGGTCTACATCAACATCAGCCATACGAAGCAAAAGAGATGTTAACTACCTCGCCTGGTATACAGGTGGTCGTGGGTTTGATCCCAACCATCACGCCTGCTGCTGTATATTTGGAGTTTGCGTGTCTCTCTCTCATCATCATCATCACGGTGGCTAGGAGATGTTAACTACCTCGCCTGGTATACAGGAGGTCGTGGGTTTGATCCCAACCATCACGCCTGCTGCTGTATATTTGGAGTTTGCGTGTCTCTCTCGCATCATCATCATCACGGTGGCTGGGAGATGTTAACTACCTCGCCTGGTATACAGGTGGTCGTGGGTTTGATCCCGACCATCACGCCTGCTGCTGTATATTTGGAGTTTGCGTGTGTCTCTCTTGCTATGGTCGTGTGGATTTTTTTCTCCCGGTCCTCCGGTTTTTCCCTCCACGTTTAGAATCAACGTGCGGTTAGAGTATTTGGCTGCAATACATGTCCACGCGATAAGCCACTTCGTTGCGGTGTCATTTGTGATAGCGAGATCGCTTCTGAAAAAGAGCTACTGTATATTGCTTAGTGGCCCTTACCGGGTAAAATTTTAATAAAAAGTTTATAATTTAATATGTGCGTATACACATTTGAGTACCAATAAAATCCCAAGGCCTATAACCGTAACTGTTTACAATACATCTTCTTGGTTCTTTTGGTAAAGTCACGTAGAAGGGAAGTAATAAAATAATAAAAATAAAACATAATAAAATAATTCTCACAACGTTTCGGCCACAACGCAAGCAGCCGTCCTCAGGTGAAGACCAGGTCTGTCGGGGAGACGCTGTCTCCCCGACAGACAAATAATAATTCTATTATGTTTTGTTTTTATTATTTTATTATTTCCCTTCTACGTGACTTTACCGAAAGAACCAAGAAGATGAATCCCTGCAGTCACAAAAGCTTTAAATCGAAATGTTTACAATACAGTATTAAAGAATTTATAATGGCTGGGTCATAACCAAATTATCCAGAATGTAACCAATATCAGATGTAAGAAGCTAAGCAGGTTTAAGCCTGGATAGCGCTTTGATTGATGACTACCCTGCACAGAAGGCTGTTGATACACTGCTGCAGGGCCATGTGGTGAACATCAATTGTACCGTACTTCTATGCTCAACATCCATTGTACCGTACTTCTATGCTCCTACATTGACACACCGACCTCCACTGACCAGCGTGGCGAAGTATAGTCAAATAACCCCTACGACCCGTATGGAATGGGCAGGTCTTCATCCAGCAGTGGACTGACAATGGGCCGCACATCTATTACGGAAACAGCTGTGCCTAAATGTTCCCCTTTTTTTCATCAGAATCTTCCTGACAAAGGGGAAAACGCACAGATATACCACGCGTTGTTCTCACAGGATGTTACCGTGACATGTGACAGAGACGCATGTGTGCACATGGTCACAATACATTTTACACACACATTATAGCTAACATAGACACACCGATATTTAGAGTTTGTATGTATGTTGAACTTCTTTCGCACCACACAGAGCCAACCACGCCAACCGCAAATAGCCAACCGTGCTAATCGGAGGTGCCGTGGAAAGGAGCGATGGGTGTGGCGTTGGCGCTGCGGTTAGTGCACTGCCCTATGACCCTGCCCACCTGAGTTTGATTCCAGGCCAGCGAGTGATAATCTGAACTGGTCTCGGGCCTGACCTCACCCTTGACCAGCGTGGTGAAGTATGGTCACCCCCCCCCGCCCCCCAATACATATTATATAGAAACAGTTGTAATAGGCAGAGGAAAAAATGTACCCGTAAAAACAAAGTTTTTCACTATAAATCCTTTATATGCGTGGCGGCTAGAGTCCTCTGGCTGCCGCCTATGGGTCAGATGATTGCCTGCCACCATTAAGCAATTGGTAAGTAAATATAATTTTTTTTTTCCTAAAAAGTGTAAAATTTTGGAAAAAAATTTTCACGAAAATTAATTGTCACGCACAACGAGTCCGTGTGCAAAATGTCAGCTCGATTGGATCACGGGAAGTGTGTTAAAAAACGACCGAAAGATTTGCACGGTCGTAAGCAAGCACGCAAGCACGCAAAAGCACGCAAGCAAACTTAATATAAAGGATTTAAAAAGCAAAGTCTTGGAGCCGTGACTGTAACAAGGGAGGCTATGGATCACTATACAAGTCTATTCGTCTCTGTATAAATAGATGGACCTCGATATACGAGTCGATGCGTCCACGACATGCTGCAGTCCCTATACAGCACAGGTACGAGCTCTGTGCGTCTCTCACATGAGCGTACAACGCCATACACTGTTGGATGCCGATGATGGCGATGATGCAATTGATGGCCTTAATGAATTGGGGGGGGGGGGGGGGGGGCTGTGTCGTCTACAGCGGACAGCAATTACAATCCATTCATTCATTCTCGGAATCTGCATGTCAATGACTCATGGCATGACGTGGCCACATGGCCACACCGGTCTATAACTGCAGCGCCGATCGCACCAATGTACAGAGTTGGTGAATGGGGCCCTATAAACGGTGACTTCAACTGTTGTATTGCACGTGTGTTTGACTCGTGATTATATTCGTTTCGGTGACTGCACGATACAAAGTTTGAAGCTTTGTCAATGAGAACGCGTATTTGAAAGCCGGGAGCTGGAATTGACATTGCAAATCGGCTGTATCTGTATGTATGCGTTTACTTTGAACTTATTTCGCACCGTACGTAGCCAACCGTGCAAATCGGCATACCACTATAATACAGCAGGAATGTACGTGCGATTAAATACCGTAAAGAACCACAATATCCATTCACAGGGGGATGAGTGGTTGCATGGGGGTTGGCACACTCTCTCATAAACCAGGTGTAGTACAGAGTTAGACTGATGGCCTTAATCTAAGTTGTCTTGTGGTTGTTGTTGTTGTTGTTTGACTTGCATCCCACTGGGATTTTTGCACACAGCGTAGGTGTACAGTGATTTTTTTCTGCAATATTTTGCTGTCTTTTCTTGGATTTTCTGTTTGCACTTAGTCACATATTCACTTTAAGATATTTTTTGTTCATGTTTTTGTTTGTTGCGGTTGCACCCGATTCAAGAGCCGAATGGCTCACAGGGCTCTACCTAATACATGAACTTGAACTTGAGGTGACCCGAGTTCGATTCCCAGCCACAGCTGACATTTCTGGCGAGTGATACACGAGCCAGACTCGGGCCTATTCCGTGACCAACACACGCTGACCAGCGTGGTGAAGTATGGTCAAGCAACCCCCACGACTGACAGGGCATGGCGGGGGGGCCTTAATCCAGCAGTGGATTAACAAAGGTCTTCATGGAAACAACATTCATACGGGAGAGTACATTCGCAACCAATATCATCCATAAGAGTTTTTTTTTGGGTTAGATCGCGTAAATATTTAAATTCAGCACGTTCGCCAATTATCTGTAAAACATTAGTTCTGATGTTATAGACTTGCATAAGAATATACGGAACTGTTGTAACGCAGAACATCCGAATAATCAATATGCTGAAAAAGCACACGAACTCATTGTGTCGTATGCATGTACACAGTCAGCAATTGTGTTTTCCTTGTGCCTATTATCTGCAATTTTTGCACGGATAAGCGGATTCCAGTGGCAAATTCGCCCTATTACCCACAAGTGTTTTTCGCGGATAAACAGAGTAAATCTGCGGATAACTTTTTTTTACCTACGTCACTTTACCGAAAGAACTAAGAGTATGAATCCTTGCAGTCACGAAAGCTTCAAATCTAGAATCTGCGGATAACGTCGTGGGACAAGAGGATCCGGGATATTCATTCGGATGAGAGGAGTTTCACAACAAGCGCATCAACAACGAGGGGGGGGGGGGGGGGGGGGGTGGGGAGTCTCTTACTGCCGTAGAGCCAGAGGAAGACGCGATGAAAACCCGGATGACCATGATGATGTTGCTGGAGATGATACGGACGGCGGCGGTTGTAGCGACGTCTTCCTTGCCACTTGAACGACCACAACTCTGCGGGGGAAGAAAGGCACAAGGTTGCTGTGACACCGGCTTGTTTGAAAACCACCGGGCACTGCAGACAATTCATCGTTGTACTGCGTGCGCGCACTTCTATGCTCCCCACGTCTATGCTTCTCGCAAACCCACGCACCGACCGGCGTGGTGAAGTATGGTCCGGGCAACACTCCGAGACACCCTCATCCAATGTACACCTCGAAACTCGACGCAATCGTCAATAATACCGCGGGTGTGTGTGGCCTTGGCAAGAAAGCAAATATATAACATGCGACGTTTCGGGCTATGGACCTTTCTCATAGCACATGTGCGTGTTTGTTTGTGCTCCGCGGTGGATAAACATTGCCGCTGGCGGTCGGCCGTGGTGCAGGGCCACCCAGCCCCTTTCGTGTACCGTTCCGGTCTTATTAGGCGCTACTTGCTAACAGCACTTGCCTTAAAATTTTGCGAAGGCTACATGGGGGACCTTTGTCTTTGTGCACCGCTGCCAACACTGTGAAACAAACGAATGTGAAGCCGAGTCGAGTACATCTCGAACATACATTATACCACTACATACAAAAGCTCGTCTCTGCAATATGTGTCTATGTGTTGTGTTACGTAAGTCCTTGTGTACGGTACACGTCTGTGCCATCTTGCCCATGAGCTCGGGGACATGTCAATCAAACGTACAGCTATTATGCGTGTACTGCATTGCCATGTTGTACTGTAATTGTCATGAATATCTATGCCACCCATTGTGTGTGTCTGGTCCAGGAACATGTGCAGTCAGCTGCAGTCACATTGATAATTGTTTTTTTTTTACCCTTTTATCTGGCAACAAAACTGACACCTTTTTACGAGGAGTCATGTTTGCATAGACCACAATACCTGCAGTCATAATGCAAACAAAAAACATAACTCTGATAATGTATGCACTGTCCTTGAAGTTGATTGGTCCACACCCGAGACAGCTTTTCTTAGAGCCTAGTCTCACATGGGTTGGGCCGGATGACGTCAGATTTGTTGCCAGATAAAAGGGTAAAAAAAACAATTATCATATTTTGTTACTGGCAAATGAGGTTCCAATGGTGCAGTCACATTGTTCATCATGGTACATGCAGAAGCAGCTATAAGTTTAACACACAGAGGGGCTTTCGCGACCAATATCATCCATAAGAGGTGTTTGGGTTAGATCGGGTAAATATTTGACTTCTCTAAGATCAGACTTATTCTTTGGTTCTTTCGGTAAAGTCACGTAGGTGAAAATAAAAAGAATAATAAAAATGAAAATAACTAAATTTTATTATTATTTTTATTTTCACCCATGTGACTTTACCGAAAGAACCAAAGAGTATGGATCCTTGCAGTCACGAAAACTTCAAATCTAGAATATTAGACTTCTCCACAAATCTGGCTGTCCGCCTGATGAAGCTGGTTGTAATTACTGGCGAAACGTCGGACTCAGATTGTAAATGGTGTGGCTTGGCTCTCCACACACTGGTGTTGCTGTACTAGTACACTACACTATACACTACTATACACTACACTATAAACTACTATACAATACACTATACACTACACTATACAACTACACTATACACTACACTATACACTACACTATACACTAGTTACACTACACTATACACTACACTTACACTAGTATACACTACACTATACACTACACTATACACTACACTAAACACTACTATACACTACACTATACACTACACTATACACTACACTATACACAAGTGCTGTACTAGTGACGAATGGCACGTTCTGTTTACGTGACAAACCCTTACTCGTTGGGCTGTGTCGGGTGGTGGGCGGGTTAACGACACATTTATATATTTACGCGTATAACCCCAAAAAAACCTGCATTATAGAAGCAGCGATGTCTGTCAATACCACCCAGCAAGCATGGTACAAGGTTCAACCACATACCAACCTTGTCTCCTCCCCCACAACGTCGTACTCAAAAACTGTAAATGTTATGGATTCACTCCTCAACACACCGGTGGGCTAAAGTCGTGAACTATTTTGTCTTTTGTCAACGTGACACTTTTTTTTTGCGACGCATTTATAAATAACGCGATATAACACCCAAAAACCTTGATTATGAACAAACTAACAAACTGGGGGAATCTGCTACAGCTTGCATCGATCCGTGCGTCTTTCTGGTCCACATCAGACGCAGTGTGTCTCCTTCGGCAGCTGTGAAATAACATTGTACCAGTGTCTCAACATTGTACTCTGTCTTTTAGCCTTCTGTTTATATATCATCAGCAGCAAGCCGTAATTATAATACACATCCCCCCCCCAATATTCAAATATGCTCAAATGTCCCCCCAATATATTTATATTTAAAAAATTGCTATGCTATGTAAATCAAAACAACAATTTGCTAAACCTTGGCCACAATATCTGGACTTGTCTGCATTTAAATCAACGCATAGATTTATGTTTATATGATTGTGGTCATGGTTGTACTTTATAATCCCTAATCACTGCCATTACATACAATTAAACAATAAAAGGTAAAAAAAATAAAATCAGAGCAATGTAATACAAAACACTATTAGACATTATTGTAAAAAAAAAATAAAAAGTCCATCCCATGTGTTAGTGAATTTTTCAATATTTTTGGCAGGAAATGAGTTTCCAAATTTAGATTTTTTTTTTCTGGGTTGGGACCCCCAGACACCCTGGAAGATTTGGTCCCCCCAATGTTGACTTCATGTCTACGGC